TGACTAAGGGAAAAGAATGGCCAACATCACACTATTCTAAGCATTGAAAAAGTGTTTTAAAATTTTTTTGTAGAGGCACATTTATTATTCTGACACTGCATGTTTTCCTTGTGAGACTCTAGTGTTCTTTTCAAGGATGAAAGAGATGGTATAGATTGAAGAGATTGATGGAATAATAATAGAAAAGCATGGAGAGTATATGTAACACTTAGGTTTGTGTAGCACTGGGAAGCTCATTTCTAAACATTAAAACTAGAAATCAACCTTCCCCCCTGACACCATTGAGTATTAAGTATGTACCATATACTGTTTTGGTGCTAGAGATATGGCAAATAATAAAGCAGTCTCATTCTCGGCTTATAACAACTATAGCCTCCATGCCTATGATTGTGTGTGGTAGTTGGGAGGAAATATGGAAAAAAATGGCATGATGCTACGGTGTGAAATATGAATATAGGGTGAGATGTGAAGAATATTGAATGCTATTAGGCCGCTGGGTGGCTTAGAACTTGAGTCATGCTATTCTCATACTCTCTTGAATGAATAAAAATGTGATTTTATGTCCAAGGCTCATAGGAATGAAGCTACCTTAGGTAAACACTGACTGCACTCAGTTCTGTGTCCTGTGTATGTGACATTCCCAGCAGACTTTATCTTGTCAGTTGTAGAGCTTGAACTCAGGGCCTGGGCGCTGTCTCTCTGAGCTCTTTTGTTCAAGGCAAACACTACCACTTTGAGCCACAGCTCCACTTCTGGTTTTCTGGTGGTTCATTTGGAGATAAGTCTCATGGCCTTTCCTGCCTGGGCTGACTTTGAGCCTCCAAAGTAGGATTATAGGCACCTGGCTCCCAGCAGACTTATCACCAGGCTAGCACAATTTAGTCATCTGGAGTTGGAGGTATAGCTCATTGGTAGAGCACCAGCCAGTGAGAGAAAGTGTCAAGTATTGAGTTTAAGCCCCAGACTTGGACCTAAAAGAAGAAAAGAATATTTATTTGCCAAATACAATCAGAAGTGTCACGGTAATCAGCAATTAATCTTTGCAAGATTGCTTTCTTCAGTTTCCACATTAAATTCTTATTCAGCTTTGATCTTTATAAGATCAAGTTAGCCACTCAAGGTTCAGTTACATCTTGATAGAGCTTGTTCTCCATAGTAAGTTCGTAGCAGCAATCATCTCTTTTGGTAAACATCAAAATCTGTTTTCAGTTTAGTATTGATCTAAACTTTCGAATGGAACTAAAGGTTTATCTTTAAGAAACCTTTCCTATGGTCTTTCCCCACCCCACCTCCAGTTGGTCAGTCCTGGGGCTTGAACTAGGGGCCTGGGTTCTTTTGCTCAAGGCTAGCACTCTACTGTTTTGAGCCACAGAGCCACTTGCTGTTTTCTGATGGTTAATAGGAAATAGTCTCACAGACTTTCCTGCCCCAGTTGGCTTCAAAACATGATCCTCTAACCTCAGCCTCCTGAGTAGCTAGGATGACAGGCATGAGCCACCAGCGCCCGGCCTTTCCTATGGTATCTTAACTGCTGCCCACAGAAGTGGTCTCCAGCTGGAGAGCTGTACTAGTGCTTCACTTGAGATGTTTATAACAAATGCTTGTAGTATCAAGATGTTAATGGCAAAGAAACTAGGTAGACTGAAGTTGTGTTGTCCTCAGCTGGACCATCTAAGAGTCTTCCATGCTAAGTACCCTTTGCGAGTGAGCCTGCCAGTGTTTGGAGTGCTTCATCTACCAGTGGTCTCCAAGCATCTTCACACTGGCTCTCGCCTTGTATGAGTAGCTGCTGATAAGTGATATTCTTTCTTTTCTCCAAATTTGGTAATTTCTCAGAAGCCTACGAAGGGGCCTGAGTAAAGAGTCCTTGTCTCATCTCTGATTCTTAGTCTCCCTCACAGTTAGACATTGACAACTGAGCAAAACCCCAGGCTAAATATTCCTCAGAGCAGAAGAGGAGAGCCTGGATAGCTAGATAGAGGTATCTTTCTCCCAGTTGCAGTCAGGAAGTTGGAGAACTTTAAAGAACAGCCACTATTTCAGTAGCTCTCGGCCTTCTGTGCACCATTATGGGCTGAGCTTTTGACAAAGAAAAATTTCTGACGCATCCAGGTTCAGTTAGTCTGGAGTGGTATTTTTGTAAACCTTCCTGGATGGTCTGTTTGTACAGGTAAGCTAGAGAATCGGTTTTAGTGAAGTCCCTGCACATGGGGAGAGGAGGCTGGATGGGGGGCGGGGGGTGAGGGGATGCAGAAAACAACATCTAAGTATGAATCTCAAGATGGTGTTCCATCCCAAAGCAGTATGGTTAGCCATCTTCTGCGTCATCTGATAGTGAAGATGGAGGTACTGGAGAAGTAGAGCTGATGATAGCATTATCATAAGCTAATGAGCTATTTTAAAGTAAATTAGCCTGTTCATGAAATGTATACATGAGACTTGTCCTGAAACTCAAACAAGGTGATACACTTGAAGTGTTTAGAATGATATGTGGCACACAGAATGAGTGCACAAATGAAATTACCATACTCCTCTGTTATGTAACATATTAGCATCCGTATTTATTGCAGATTTTAAAAAATCTGTATTTTGGGCTGGGAAGGTTGGCTCAGTGTCGTAGAGTGCTTGCCTAGCATTCATGAAGCCCTGGGTTCGAAAAGGTCAGAAGTAGCACTATGGCTCAAGTGGTAGAGTACTTGAGCAAAAGAAGCTCAGGAACAGTGTCCAGGCCCTGAGTTCAGCCCCAGGGCTGGCCAAAAACAAAAAAGAATTGGGGGGGGGGGGGTGTGGGAAGAAACTGTATCTAAGCCAGATATTGGTGGTTCATGCCTGTAATCCCAGCTACTCAGGAGGCTGAGATCTGAGGATCCTGGTTCAAAGCCTATGAGGAAAGTCTATAAGACTCTTTTTTTCCAAGTAACTACCAAAGGCCGGAAATGGCACTGTGGCTCAAAGTGGTAGAGCACTAGTATTGAGCACAAAGCTCAGGGGCAGTGCCAGACCCTGAGTTTAAGCCCTAGGACTGGCGCCAAAACAAACAAAAAAAGACTGCATGCAGACAGATTTTCTTGACTCTCAGCTGCATAGCTTATGGGCTATTTTCCACTTTCAAAAATATTGCTAGGATCAACAATAATGTGCAAATGAAAGTTGTTGTGTTTTTTTTTTTTGTGGGTGTAGGTTTTTTTTTTGAGCACATTTGAAAATTGGCATTATGAGGTCATTCTGGTATGGTTCCTGTTACACAAGTATTGTAAATGAAGAGGATCATATTTACGTGCCACTGAATGTAGGGGTTTGTCACTGATACACTTAACGCGGTGACTGGAGAAGAACTTGTGCCAGGCACACATTGATAGGCGTAATAGTTAGCAATAAAGCGTGCCCCAAAGTCTTAGAAATTATACTGTAAGAAAGGTGCACGGGGGTTGGGAAGGTGGCTCAGTGGTAGAGTGTTCACGTAGCACACATGAAGCCCTGGGTTCTATTTCTCAGTACCACATAGACAGAAAAAGCCGGAAGTGGTGCTGTGGCTCAAGTGGTAGAGCGCTAGCCTTGAGCAAAAGAAGCTCAGGGAAAGTGCCCAGGCCCTGAGTTTATTAAAAAAAACATTAATTTTGGTGTAATATTAGATGTCATCTCAGGAGCAACATAATCTAATAGTGCTTTCTTTATTTAAGTGGACATTTTGAAGATAGAGAATAAATATATTTGGCCATAATACGACCACATGCACATAGACAGCCCTGTTTTTTTCCTTGGTCATTTTTCAGATAAGAGTTTTTTGCCCAGGCTATCTCCTCTTCTGTTCTCCCAATTTCCTCCTGAGTAGCTTGGATTATAGATGTGAGCCACTGAAATCTTTTTTTTTTTTTTTTTTAATGTAACTGGGTTATTAGTACTCTGCCCTTCCGTGGGGATGGTATGGTAAGATATGAAAATTCACCTTATGAATACCTTCAGTAAGGGAATTCCAGATGACTTTGATTTTTATGCGGGATTGCATACACAGAAGGCATACAGAATTCTAAGGAAGTGAATTCTTGCTAGAAAAATGTCCCATTTATCGTGCTATTGTACTAGTGAGCTGATACAGCACTGGCAGAATTACAATTGTGCTGTGTGTTTTTGTTTTCATGGAGCCAGATTATTGTCATTTAAACCCAAAAATACTATATTTTGGAAAATTGATTAAGTAAGTGCTAACCTGTTCCTGTCTGCCCTCTCCCCCTCCCCCTTGCCTTTTTATTGTTGTGGCCATATGAAAACCAGATTCAAAAGTCATCATTCCACCTCCACTATTTTTTTTTTTTTTTTTATTTTTTATTTTTTTTTTTATTGTAAAGCTACTATACAGAGGGTTACAGTTACATGAGTGAGGTTATGAGTACACTTCCTCTTGAACATTGTTACCCCCTCCATTGTTTTCCCCCTACCATCCCCTCCCTCCCTCCCTTCCCCGAGGTTCTTTTTTTTTTTTTTTTTTTTGATTGTGATTAAATGATTACATAATTTCAAAGTCACAAGTTCATTCTAACTTCCCTGGAGCAAATTGTCTACCACAGTCTGTAATATATAACAGTGTTCACATGTTATATACCATATTTGTGATCAGCAGCATGAGGATATTTAGTAGTGGTTCAACCAGATGAGCGGGAGTTCTTTGTTTCTTAAGTCCTGTTAGTTTTGTCGTATCACCTAACCTTTTGGATTTAGCATCCACTTATGAGGGAGACCATGTACCGTTTGTCTCTTCGTTCTTGGCTTACCTCGCTCAACATGATTCCTTCTAGCTCCATCCATTTCCCTGCAAATGCCATTATTTTGTCATTTCTAATGGCTGCATAATATTCCATTGTGTATAGATACCACAATTTTTGGATCCATTCATCTGTGGTGGGGCACCTAGGTTGTTTCCATATCCTAGCTATTGCGAACAGTGCTGCAATAAACATGGAGCCACCTCCACTATTAACCTATCTTTTGGTTCTCTTTTGCAGGAGGTGTATCGAATTCCAAAGAAAAGTCAAACTGAAAAGGAGGGCACAGGTAAGCTTTCAGAGCAATCCTTCTGTTATATGCCAAGGCAACTGATAAGAACTTCAGCCAAGGGACAATATTGATGTGTACAAAACAGCAGCGTCTTTCCAGTTAGTTTCTATTGCAGGGTTCAATACTGGCGGCAGTGTGAAATGAAGAGATTGACTTAGGAAAGTGAAGTAGTAGGCGATTTGTAAAAAGTCATTCTCAGATCAGTGTTGGGGAAGCAGAGCAATGAACTTTGGTGAGACGGTAAGTCATTTTATGTTAAAGAAAGATATTGTAAAGGGCTGGGGAGCTGGCTCAGCGGCAGAGCGCTGGCCTTGCATGCCTGAGGCCCTGGGTTCGATTCTCAGCACCACATAAGCAAAAGGAAAAAAAGCCGGAAGTGGCCTGTGGCTCAAGTGGTAGAGCACTAACCTTGAGCTGAAGAGCTGAGCGCCCAGGCCCAGAGTTCAGGCCCCACGACCAGACCCCCCCCCCCCCCCCAAAAAAAAAAAAGAAAGAAAGAAAGATACTGTAAATAAAGAAGGCTAGTATAGCATCTTTGAACAGGCTGTATGTGTGTGGTGAATGTGAATACTGAGACTTGAAATCAGGGCCTGGGTGCCGTCACTGAGGTGTGTGTGTGTGTGTGTGTGTGTGTGTGTGTGTGTGTGTGTGTGTGTGTGTGTGTGTGTGTGTGTGTGTGTGTGTGTGTGTGTGTGTGTGTGTGTGTGTGTGTGTGTGTGTGTGTGTGTGTGTGTGTGTGTGTGTGCCAGTTGTGGGGCCTGAACTGTGTGTGTGTGCGCCAGTTGTGGGGCCTGAACTGTGGGCCAGGGCCTGGGTGCTGTCACTGAGCTATTTGTGTGTGTGTGTGTGTCAGTTGTGGGGCCTGAACTCTGGGCCTGGGCGCTGTCCCTCAGCTCTTCAGCTCAAGGCTAGCGCTCTACCACTTGAGCCACAGTGCCACTTCTGGCTTTTTTTTTTCTTTTTGCTTATGTGGTGCTGAGGAATGGAACCCAGGGCCTCATGCATGCAAAGCAAGCGCTCTACCACTGAGCCACCTTCCCAGCCTTCACTGAGCTATTTCTATCAAGACGATTTGAGCCACAGCTGTACTTCTGTTGTTTTTTGTTTTGGTAGATTGCTTGCCTAGCATGCTCAGTGCCCTGAGTTCAATCGCTAGCACCACAATAAATAAGTGCTTTATAAAATGATAATATATTTTTCCTTTTGTGGTCGTTGTGCTTTGTAAAAACAGTACCTTTATGCAGTTGCTATACTATTGACTATGCACTATTACAATGGAGGGGGGAAAAATACCAAATAAACTTTTTAAAAACCCTTTTTCCCCTAGTAACTGAACGAGGAAGGGATGTTGTTGCCTTCAGAGATCAAACAGCTGCCCCAAAGACTCCCAACAGGTCAAGAGAAAGAGACTCAGACAAACAAACACAAAATAAAGAGAAAAGGAAACGAAGGGGCTCTCTTTCACCACCTGCTTCTGCCTATGAGCGGGGAACCAAAAGGCCAGATGACAGGTAAGCGATGAGTCCGTCTCTTCCCAAAGATATGTGAGAAAGTGCCCAAGTTCTATGCATTTGGCCCTCTCAGCCTGCTTTTGCCATTTAACACCTGTGAATGGCTTTTGATCTTTTTGAATTACAAGTTTCTCTTCCAAAGTACTAATTCTCTTCAGAGCTAATCTGCATAGCCATACTCTGGACCTTAGAGACATTGAATTAGATTAATACTGGGTTATTTCTTGGCTCATACCCCTCCCTCCTTCCCTCCCTTTCTTTTTTGGTTGGTGATGGAGCTTGAACTCAGGGCCTGGGCGCTGCTGTCCCTGAGCTTTTTTGTGCAAGGCTAGCACTCTACCACTCTGAGCCACAGCACCACTTCCAGTTTCCTGGTGGTTAATTGGAGATAAGGGTGTCATGTAGACTTTTCTGCCCAGGCTGTGGCTTCTCAGCCTCCTGATTAGCTAGTGAGCCACTGGCATTTGGCTTATTTTTCTTTTAACTTTCAGAATTTGTAATCATCCTTAACAATAAGGAAGAATATGATGCTACTATATAGTACCTTCAGAATTAATTTTGTGGGTACATGTGGTACTGGTGATGGAACCTGGGGCCTTTGCACATCCTTAACTAAATTTTAGTATAACTTATTTTTTTTAAAGTAGTGCCAGTCCTGGGGCTTGAACTCAGGGCCTGGGCACTGTCCCTGAGCTTTTTTGCTCAAGGCGCATGCTCTACCACTTGAGCCACAGCTCCACTTCTAGCTTTTTTGGTGTGTAATTGGAACTGAGTCTCTCAGATTTCCTGCCTGCGCTGGCTTCAAACTGCGATGCTGAAATCTCAGCTTCCTGAGTAGCTGAGATTACAGGTGTGAGCCCCCAGCGCCCAGCTAGAGTGTGATTTGTAACCAATGGCTAATTGGACCCAGTGTGTTTAGAGGTTCATTGATGCGGTGCTAGTGTTTCCGTGGCTTCACATTTATCAGTAGTTGGCTATGTCCATGAACGAGTAACCTTGTGTCGTCGGTCTTAACTGTTTTCTTTGTAGGTATGATACACCAACTTCGAAAAAGAAAGTTCGAATTAAAGACCGCAATAAACTTTCCACCGAAGAGCGCCGGAAGTTATTTGAGCAAGAGGTGGCCCAGCGGGAGGCCCAGAAGCAGCAGCAGCAGATGCAGAACTTGGGCATGACGTCCCCGCTACCCTATGACTCTCTGGGCTACAACGCCTCCCATCACCCCTTTGCTGGCTATCCACCGGGGTACCCCATGCAGGCCTACGTGGACCCCAGCAACCCCAATGCTGGGAAGGTGCTCCTGCCCACGCCCAGCATGGACCCCGTGTGCTCTCCTGCTCCTTATGACCACGCCCAGCCCTTGGTAGGACATTCAACAGAACCTCTCGCTGCCCCTCCGCCGGTGCCAGTGGTGCCACACGTGGCGGCCCCCGTGGAAGTTTCTAGTTCACAATATGCGGCCCCGACGGATGGTGTGGTACACCAGGACTCCAATGTTGCGGTCATGCCCGTACCAGCCCCGGGCCAAGTCCAGGGACAGAATTACAGTGTTTGGGATTCAAACCAGCAGTCGGTCAGTGTACAGCAGCAGTACTCGCCTGCACAGCCACAAGCAACCATCTATTATCAAGGACAGACATGTCCCACTGTCTATGGTGTGACGTCACCCTACTCGCAGACAACACCACCAATTGTACAGGTAACTACTTCTGCAGCCTCTCCAGCCTTAAAGCTGGGCTCACGCCTATCATCCTAGCTACTCAGGAGACTGAGATCTGAAAAAAGCCAGCCCAGGCAGGAAAGTCTGTGAGACTCTTACCTCCAGTAAACCACTAGAAATCCAGTAAACCACTAGAAAACCAGAAGTGGCGCTGTGGCTCAAGTGGTAGAGTGTTCACCTTGAGCTGAAGAGCTGAGGGACAGTGCCCAGGCCCAGAGTTCAAGACCCACGACCAACAACAACAAAAAAAGTCTATTCATGAGATGTCAATCAAGTCTGGCACACAATTGATGACTTGTATATAGCAATTGAATTTTTGTTTTTGAGGGGAGGAGGTGTTAAATTAGGGCCTTACACATACAGATCAATTATCTGTATGTCTTTTGTACACACACTATAACTGTGTGTGTTTATATACACATATGTGTAATTTAAAATACTGCCCCCCAAAACCTAGCAGCTTAAGATAGTGTTGTTGTGCATGATTTCCATGATTTAGAAGCCACTTAGTTTGGCTGGCTGGTTGGCTGGCTCAGGATCTTCAGTGAAATGACAATCAAGCAGTTAGCCGGAGCTATTTGAAGACTTTACTCGACGGTCACATCTCATCAGACAAATGATTTATAAAAACAGTGTCTGTCATTGGGGAATTTGAGTCTCCAACATAGTTTTGCTTTTTTTTTTTTTAAGTTTTTTTTCTTTCTTGTAAATTTGGATGCTTAGCCACCTGACTTACTTTAGAAATAACATGTTTCGGGCTGGGAAGGTGGCTCCATGGTAGAAGTGGTTACCTCGCATGCACTAGGCCCTGGGTTTGATTCCTCAGCACCACAGATGCAGAAAATGCACTGTGTCTCAAGGTGGTAGAGTTCTTGCCTTGAGCTGAAGAGCTGAGGGACAGCACCCAGGCCCAGAGTTCAGGCCCCATGACTGACCAAAAAAAAAAAAAAAAGAAGAATGAACATGTTTCACCCTGGTAGTGGTTGTTCTCAAAACTGGGACTTGAGCAAAGTGTATTTCTAACAACTGGGGAGGATTGTAGTTCAAGGCCAGCCCAGGCAAAACACGAGCCCCCATTTCAGTCAGCAAGCTGGCTTCGTGGTACAGACCTGTGGTCCCAGCTATGTAAGAAAGGGTAAAGAGGAGGATTACGATGCTGGCCAGCTTGGTGGAGTTGGGTAGTGGGGAAAGGAGGCAGGCCAGGAGAAGTAACTAACACAAAAAGGACTAGAAGCGTGGCTGACGTGGTAGAGTGCCTCCCTACCCCTCACTTGGAACCCCAGGTCTACCAAAAAGAAGTTTTGGACAGAGTATGGTGGTGCATACCCTAATTCCTGCTCTTTAGGAGGTCTGAAGCAGAAGGATAATGGGTTCAAAGCCAGCCTGGCTCGCCTAGTGCAGCCCTGTCTCAAAGAAGTGTCAAGTGGATCTTAGCGATTTCTTTGCAGTCACACTGGAAGTAAATGGGAAATAATTATTTCCAGGAATTATTCCTAGATACCCAGAAACTAAAGCAATTTTAATAAATAACGTTTTTAAAGGCTTCGTTGATAAACAAGTCATAGCCACTGATTTTGGATATGGTTTATTAACTATGTAACATCAGCTGTTCTATAACAGTAAATCAAGAATTATGCCATTTTCCCTCTGTTTTCTGTATCCTTGTGAAAATGATTCATCTCTAGTTTGGGAATAGGCTTTGATGACAGACTGCCCGAGTTCCTAGGTTCCAACCCAGCACTTACAAATGATTACTCCAGATGTGGCTAGTCTTGTCACACTGCTTGTTATTATAGCAGTATCATTAGCAGCCTTTCTTTGGTGGGGGACTGGTGTTGAAGACTTGTGGCTTGAACTTAGGGCCTGGACCCTGTTCCTGAGCTTTTGTGCTGCTCAAGGCCAGCATTCTACCACTTTGATCCACAGTGCCATTTCTGGATTTTTGGTAGTTAATTGGAGATATCAAGAGTCTCATTGACCTTTCTACTTGGGCTGGCTTTGAACTATGATACTCAGATCTCAGCCTCCATAGTAGCTAGAATTATGGGAATGAGTCACCAGCACCCGGCAGGGAATTACTAATTTTTTTTTAATCTTTTGTGTTTGTTCCAAACGAGTACTGTACATATTTGTATCCAGATACAGACATAAGTTTAAAAGAAAGACTGATAGTGCATCTTTCAGTAAGATGATGTGAAACAGGAAGGCAGTTGATTTAGGCACGTATACATTATGGATGTCTTGGTTTTTGTAGAGTTACGCCCAGACAAGTCTTCAGTATATCCAGGGACAGCAGATTTTCACAGCACACCCGCAAGGAGTGGTGGTCCAGCCAACCACAGCTGTGACGACAATAGTTGCCCCAGGGCAGCCTCAGCCCTTACAGCCAGTAAGTAATCTTTCAGTTGTTACAAGCGCTCTCATTGGCTGCCTGTTGTCTGTGGAAAATTTTCTTTTCTTCTGTTTTCCCTCCCTGGTCTGTGTGTCTTAATTTATGTAGTCACTGGGCTTGGAGGCCTGGCTCAGTTGGAGTGCTAGCCAATGAGCAAAAGCATCAGGAATTGAGTTTGACTCCGGGTCTCAGATCTAAAAAATAAATTATGTAGTCATCAACTCCACCTGAGTACCTTGAAGAAGGTATACATGAAACCAGTCTGTCAAAAGCTCTAAAAATTCTATGATGTTTGTATTTCTGTTTACATATGTGTTTTGCTCCTGGATCCTATCCTTATTATTTACACTTAGTAACCATAATATTGGGTTGTTTTGTTTTTGTATTTTTGTTTGTTTGTTTTTGTCAGTCATAGGGCTTGAACTTAGGGCCTGAGTACTGTCCCTGAGTTCTTTTTGCTCAAGGCTAGTGCTCTGACACTTTGAGCCACAGCTATATTCTTTTTTTTTTTTTTGCCAGTCCTGGGGCTTGAACTCGGGGCCTGAGCACTGTCCCTGAGCTTCTTTGGCTCAAGGCTAACACTCTAGCACTTGAGAACAACAGCACCGCTTCTTGCCTTTTCTGTATAGATGGTTCTGAGGAATTGAACCCAGGGCTTCATGTGTACTAGGCAAACGCTCTACAACTAAACCACATTCTCAGTCCTGGTTTTCTTAAATTGATATATTGTATGAATGCTTTAAAGTAATAATTTTTCTAGACTGAAAGACCACGCATGGTAGACACCATTTTGGTATATACTTGTAATCCCAACATGTAGTAGGCTGAATCTGGAGGATTGCAAGTTTGAGGTTAGCCTATGCCATATAGTGAGATCTTGTCTCATATTTTTTCCTAGACTATTAATGTTTATTGAACAATAATGTGCTTAGTACTAAAATAAAAAACTGTACTGTATTCGGTGAACTGGGGCTAGGGGTATAAAATGATATATTAACATTTTGCTTTTATGCTGTATAATATAATATTGAGAGAATTTTTTGGTAATTCTGCAATTACATATGTAGAAGGATTTGGTAAAATCTTGATGAATGTTAATGTTTTGAAATAAAATGAGAAATAAGCTGGCATAAGAAGCAATGGAAAGCTATAAACAAGAAGATTGGCAGATCTGTGGTTTAACGAACATGTAATTCTGGAGATGGCTCTTGTAATCTGGATATAGCTTTAGATAGGCATGATTGGAAAATTAGTGCAGGTAGAGTAAAAATACTCTTATGTGGAGCCATTGGAGAGTAAGATGTAGGTGGTTACAAGTGGTACTAGAGTACTTGCTATGAGTTGAGCTCTCCTGAGCAGTTTGAATGTGAAGAGTAAGATTTTTTTATTTTTTCTTTTTTTCTCTTTTTGGTCCTGGGCTTGAACTGACTAGGACCAGGGCACTGTCCCTGAGGGGTTTTTTGCTCAAGGTTAGCACTGTATCACTTTGAGCCACAGCACCACTTCTGGTTTTCTGGTGGTTCACTGGAGATAGTCTTATGGACTTTCTGCCTGGGCTGGCTTTGAACTGCAATCCTCAGATCTTAACCTCCTGAAGAGCTAGAACTTCAGGCTTCTATTCCTGTTCTTTTATCTTAACATTCACACTAAGAGAAATGATGGTCCAAATAAATAACACTAAAAGTAGTTCAGTGTTATAAATAGTGCAGATAAAAAGGTTTGAAGGAAAGAATTATTTCCAAGTGGGAGAAGCTTTAGCAATTTAGTGAGTACTAAATAATAAGGAATACTTATCCATCTTTTTTTTTTTTTTTTTCTTTTTGCCAGTCCTGGGGTTTGAACTCAGGGCCTGGGCACTGGCTCTGACCTTCTTTTACTCAAGGCTAGCACTCTACCACTTGAGCCACAGCGCAACTTCTGGCTTTTTTTTGTGTATGTAGTACTGAGGAATGGAACCTAGAGCTTCATGCATGCTGGGCAAGCACTCAACCACTGAGCCACATTCTCAGCCCTGGGATATTTATTCTTAAGTGCCTTAGAAGCATAGGGGAGAAAGGGTCATTTTATTGGCCAGATAGAGGACTATGGGGATAGAGGAAATGAAACTTAAGTTGGGACTAAAACCCCAACTTGGTTAAGGTAGAAATAAACAGGTCTACGTAAAGCATGAACACTTAAGAGACCCATGTTTACTTAATTATGAGCAGATTTCATTTGAGTCTTTAGTTTCCAGTGCCTCCTAATTGTGTAAGATGGAATGAAGCTGAAAAATAATTCATTAATTGGCTTACTTAGGAGGGATAATGAAAGGATATACATCCTCACGGTAATTAATCCGCTCAGGCTGCTATGAGTAATACCATTTTAAACAACAGAAATTTGTTTTCTCACAGTCCTGGATATGAAGTCCAAAATCAAGGTATCTGCAGGGTTTGTTCTTCCTGAGCAGCCCCTGTGGCTTTTGGACTACTCCCTTCTTGCTGTGTCCTTCCAGTTCCTTTTCTGTTTTTTGTTTGTTTGTTGTTGTTGTTGTTGTTTTTGACCATCCTGGGGCTTGAACTCAGCCTGGGCGCTGTCCCTCAGCTCTTCAGCTCAAGGTGAGCGCTCTACCACTTGAGCCACAGCACCACTCCTGGTTTTCTGGTGGTTTATTGGAGATAAGAGTCCCTTAGACTTTCCTGCCTGGCTGGCTTTGAACTGCAATCCTCAGATCTCAGCTTCCTGAGTAGGATTACAAGCGTGAGCCACGGCCCTCCCTTTTCTCTGCAAGCATCCTCTGATGTCACTTTTCTTATTTATTTTTATTTTTTCTCTAAGGCCCAGACTCAAACGTGGTACCTGATGCTTTTGCTTATTGGCTACCACTCCTCTATCAACTGAACCACGCCTCAACCCCTGTTGCACTCTTCATATGGACATCAAGTCCTATGGGATTAAGTCCCTCATCTCGTGACCTCATTGAACCCTTCATTATTTCTTTCAAGGCCCTGCCTTCCAAACTAGTTACAATGGGGTTAGGGCTTTGATGTACCAAGTAAAATGGAGATCTGTGTAAAGTCCACCAGCTAGTTGGTAAAGGCTATTTAGCATTGTTTTTAATATTGGGCTATACTGCTTTAGATAAGCTGATGGATATTTTCCATTAGGTATGAACTAGGAGCTACTGTCAATTTTCTCATAGCTCTTAGAACTCTTTATATAGTCTTCCGGTTACTTATTTCTCAAATTATATTTTACCTTTTTTAAAAAGATCAACTAGGGCTGGGAAGGTGGCTTATTGGCAGAGCGCTTGTCTAGCATGCATGAAGCTCTGGGTTCCATTCCTCAGTACCACATTATCAGAAAAAGCCTGTAGTGGCGCTGTGGCTCAAGTGGTAGAGCACTAGCCTTGAACAAAGAAGCTCAGGGATAGTGCCAGGCCCTGAGTTCAAGTCCCAGAACTGGCAAAAACAAAAACAACCAAAAGATGTACGTTTCTTTCAATGATGCTTAAGAATTTTGTATTCTGTTGAGCATTGATTTTTTTTTTAAGTATATGGGTTTTCTTTGTGTGTGTGTGTGTGTGTGTATATTAGCCTGAAATGGTTGTGACAAACAATCTACTGGATCTGCCACCGCCCTCTCCTCCCAAACCGAAAACTATTGTGTTACCTCCCAACTGGAAGACAGCTCGAGACCCAGAAGGGAAGATTTACTACTACCACGTAATCACGAGGTAAGAGAGCCATGTGGGGTCCCCCCGCCCTGCATTCACGCACGGAGCTTGCAGCACCGAGACAGCTCTGTACTTCTTTACTATGTCCTATGTCTAGGATATTACATCAGCAAGAGGCAGACAAGGTGTTTGGTATTTTGTGCTGATCCTGGGCTTGAACTTGAGCCTGGGTGCTGTCCCTGAGCTTTTTTGTTCAAGGCTAGTCCTCTTACCACTTGAGCCACAGCTCTGCTTCAGTTCTCTGGGAGTTAATTGGCAATCAGTCTCACAGATTTTCCTTTTGCTCAAAGCCAGCTTTGAACTGTCATCTTCAGATCTCAACCTCCTGAGTTACTAGGCTTACAGGTGTGAGCCATCCAGTACCTGGCAAGCTACTTGGTTTTATTCCTCTCTTCAGTACCCAGCCAACATTACCTATCATTGCTCACCGAATAAGAATGATCTAGAGTCAGTCATTGCTGGTAGAGAGCTGTCAGGAGTGCAGCTCAGGGTGCTGACTGGTTCTACCCCCCTTGCATGTTGTGCTTTCTAACCTTGATGGCTAGAGCCCTCTTCCCAGCTATGACAGCCTGCCATTTGTTGCCTTCTTCTAGGCAGACTCAGTGGGATCCTCCTTCTTGGGAAAGCCCTGGAGATGATGCCAGCCTTGAACATGAAGCTGAGATGGACCTGGGAACCCCAACATACGACGAAAACCCCATGAAGGTGAGTGTGGCCTACACGTCATGGCTCCTGCGCACACAAGAGCCTTTTCTTTTGTTATGGAAGACCCAGCCTCCATGTCAGTCTTGGTTTTCTTTTCTTCTTATTCTGAAAACTATGTGAAAGTTCCTCTCTGTCAGAATGGAGGTTCAAGTTGAGAGAAAGACAAAAGGTGTTTATTGGGGGCTGGGAAGGTGGCTCAGTGGTAGAGCGCTTGCCTTGCATGCATGAGGCCCTGGGTTCGATTCCTCAGCACCACATAAGCAAAAAAAGAAAAGAAAAAAGCCGGAAGTGGCGCTGTGGCTCAAGTGGTAGAGTGCTAGCCTTGAGCTGAAGAGCTGAGGGACAGCGCCCAGGCCCAGAGTTCAGGCCCCACAACCGGCCCCTCCCCCCCAAAGAAAAGGTGTTTATTGTTATTATCAAGATGTTGTGCAGAGGGGTTACCATTTCAGAAGTCAGCTCATGAGTACAATTCTTTTTTGGGGGGAGGTAGTTTTTTGGGGGGGGATAGTTATGATCTGAACCATACAGTAAAGGTAGAAAATTGTACAGTATTCTGTAGGTTTTTGTTTTTGTTTTTAACCAGTCCTGGGGCTTGAACTCGGTCCCTGAGCTGCTTTTGCTCAAAGCTAGCGCTCTACCCCTTGAGCCACAGCACCACTTCTGGCTTTTTCTGTGTATGTGGTGCTGAGGAATGGAACCCAGGGCTTCATGCATGCTAGGCAGGCACTCTACCACTGAGCCACCTTCCCAGCCCTGGTCTGTGGTTTTAACTAAGGCTGCTGGACACATTTACACAGAGAAACTTGAGAATGAAAGTCCTATTTGGAATATGATTTTGAAGAGAAGAGATTCTTTTTGTTTTTGCCAGGACTGTGGCTTGAGCTCAGCCTCGCGCTCGCTCAGCTCCCTTCTTGGCTGTCACTACCACTCGAGCCATTCCTCCAAACCAGTTTTTCACTGACTGTTTTGGAGATGACGTTTCCTAGACTTTTCTTCCTGGGCCGGCCTTTGAAGTGGGATCCCCTAGCCATGTCCTCCCACGTAGCTGAAATTACAGGCATAAGCCACCGGCCTCAGCAGGAGTTAAGATCTTTTTATCTGGGCATTGGTGATATTTCACAAAAATGCATATCCTGACCTGACCAGGCCGTATTCTCAAAGTACCCTGACCATGGAATCCAAGTCATACTCTACTCACTGATTGAGTGTGTTTGTTCATGTGTCTCTCCACTTATGAGCACAAAGTAAAATGTTGGAGACTTGGGTGTGGTTTCTAGACTTCTTTGCCTTAGAGCTATTTATAATTGAATACACAATTCTAGAAAGACTAGAATGTGCTAGAATGATAATTATATGTGCAGTGAAACTAGTGGTAAAGGGCATGGGCGTCATAAGCCTAATTCAGTAGAGACATGTCATTTATAATACATCTGACCATCCCCTAAGTTCAAGTTCAAAGTTAGGGTTAAAATTAACTTTATCTGTGAAGGAAATAGATAATGGGGTGACTTAACTGTTAATTTTCTTGATAAGATTTCAAAGTTGGGAAGGAGTTGATCCATTTACTTGTTAAGATATTAGATAAGGGACTAAGAAGGTGGCTTAGTGGTTAAGTGCTTGCCTAGCATGCCTGAGGCCAGGGTTTGAGTCCACATAAAAACAAGAAAAGCCAAGAAGCGGTGCTGTGGTTCAAGTGGTAGCGTGCTGGTCTTGAGCAAAAGAAGCTCAGTGCCCAGGCCCTGAGTTCAAACCCCAGGACTGGCCCAGAAAAAAAAAAAAAAAGATACTAAATAAGTCTAGGGTTAGATTTAAATCTCTCCTCTGAGTTTAATTTCTTCACCTGCCTTTTATTCCTTTACTTTGTATTTAAACTGTGTGTGTGTGTGTGTGTGTGTGTGTGTGTGTGTGTGTGTGTGTGTTGGTACTGGAGCTTGAACTTAGGGCATAGGTACTGTCTGTTTACTCTTTTGCTAAAGTCTGATGCGCAGCCACTTGAGCCACCATGGCAGTCATGGTGCTTGAAGTTGGCCCAGGCCCTCTCCCTGAGCTGCTTTTGCGTTTATGTGGTACTGGGGAAGCGAACCCACCACTTCTTGCATGCTGGGCCAGCGCTCTACCACTGAGCCACACTCCTAGCTCCTTGAGCCATTGCAAGTTAGTTTTCTATTGGCTTGTTAACCCATACTTCTGTTTCACTTGCTCTTCAATGGTTCATCTGTATTTAAAATTTTATCCATTTATTTTATTTTATTTTTTTTGCCGGTCGTGGGGCCTGAACTCTGGGCCTGGGTGCTGTCCCTCAGCTCTTCAGCTCAAGGCTAGCGCTCGACCACTTGAGCCACAGCGCCACTTCCGGTTTTTTCTGTTTTTATGTGGTGCTGAGGAATTGAACCCAGGGCCTCATGCATGCAAAGCACTCTACCACTGAGCCACCTTCCCAAGCCCCCAAGTTTTATCCATTTCTTCTAGATTTTCCAGTTTATTTGAGTATAGGTTTTCAGTGTCTTTTATTGATTTGAGTCTCTTCTGTCCTTTTGGTCAAATTAGCTAGTAGGAGTTTATCTTATCCCTTGTCATAGTACTTTTTTAGTCTCCAATTTACTGGTACCTGCCATGATTTTTATACTTTCTTTCCATCTGCTAGTTTCAGGATTGGTTTGTTCCTATCTCTCGAGGAGTTTGTTTGGGTTGCTTCATAAAGTGGCTTGGGTGCCTCTGCTCGGTTTGTTATTGTTTGTTGTTGATATGAGCACTCATAGTTCTGATGATTTCCCTCTGAACACTGGCTTTGTTGTATTCCAGAGGTGCCAGTAGGCTGCGTCCTCATTTTTCATTCATTTCCAGGAACGTCTTGATTTCTTCAGTAGCCCAGTGTCCATTCCACAATGTGCTGTTCAATCTCTGTGTATTTGAGTATTTCCTGTTGGGGATCTTCTGTTGAGCTCCAGGTCAATTCCATTAGGGGTCTGATTAAATACAAGGAGTTCATGTCCGTTTTCTTGTGGGTTCAGGTTTGCTGTGTGTCTTAGGATATCTGTTTGGGAGAAAGTTTCATGCGCTGCCAATTATGCAGCTGCAGGGTGAACTATGGTGTCAGTATCTGTTAATGCTGTTTGCTCTATGGTGCCATTTAATTCTAAGGTTTGTTTGATTTCTGTATTGTTGAAATGACCTATCTATGGAGATGGGTGGGCATTAGAGTCTCCCTGTGCTGGAATCTAGTAGCACTTGTAGGACCAGAAGCATCTGGGTGTGCCATTATTCGGTACACACATTTTTCAGTTGGGGGTGTGTGTGGTATTTTAGGACTTAGAAAACCCATGTGGGTAGAGCGGAAGGGTGTGGAGGTGGGAAAGATGCCCTCATTCAGTCTAAGGAATGAAAGAACAAGGGAAGTTCCAATAAATCCTAAGTGAAAATTGAGCTCCCTTCAGGATTGAGCACGGCCCACCCTTGCCTGGTACAGCACTGAAGCCTAGGCTTTCAGTCATCAGTAAATCGGTGCTTGTGAGAATCCTGGAAGTGTGCAGAATGACCGTATACAATGCCCAGAAGAAGGTGTGCACTTGGCATTGAACCCAGGATCTTGCCCTTGCTGGGCAGGCCCTCCACCACTAGAGTGAGGTTGCCACACCAGTAGCAAAAACTTCGGGCTGTGAGACGGAGCATGTATGAGAGCCTTCCCTTCTCTGTTGGCCTCCCGTGTTGCTTCCTCCCTCTTGATCATCTTGTGCTCTCTTCCATCCCCCAACCCGTGGCGAGTGTGAAGCCACACCTTCACCATGCTGACTGGTTGTATGGTTGACAGTTCATTTACTGCTACTTCCTGCCTCAAGATTAACATTCCCTCACAAGGTATCCGAGTTGCCCCCTAACTGGAACTGTTACCTTAACGGGAGCGGCTGTGGAGGAGGATGTGTGGGTGGGGGAAGTCGTAAAAGGTGGGATCTCAGGCGGAGAGAGTTTTTCCAGTGGATGCTGCCATTTGTTGGTCAGTTTGCAAAATGATTCACGCATACCTACTCAGTCATAGCGAGGAACCAAGAAATCACATTTTAGAGGGATTTGTCAGAAGCCAGACCTGGGTAGCAAAGATGGTAACATTGTTGAGTGAGCATACCTGATTATCAGCTGGGGACCAGAGAAAAACACACACAGGCCTACACCACACTTACAGCCAGGTGTGTGGAGGAGGTGGGCCCCTGGCTATTATTAGCAAGACCTTTGTGTATACTTGCATGCATGCCAGTCCTGAGGTTTGAACTCAGGGCCTGGGCACTATCTCTGAGCTTTTGTGCTCAAGGTTAGCGCTCTACTACTTAAGCCATAGCTCCACTTCCAGTGTTTTTGGGGTTTGTTTGTTTTTTTCCCCCTGAAGTTAATTTGAAGATAAGACTTTCCTGCCTGGGCTGGCCTTGATCTGCGATCCTCAGATCTCAGCCTCCTGAGTAGCTAGCATGACAGGCCTGAGCCACTGGCGCCCAGCTAATGCTAACTTTTAAACGGGGACTTTGGGGGAATGAGGCAGGGGTCCTCAGGTTTTTCATGGTGATGGCAAATCTCCCTTTGGCTCTTGATTCCTTTGCTTGGTGTCCAGCTTAAATAGTCCTTTCCCATGCTGACCACAGACCGAGAAAAGTGGGGTTTATGAATGTCAGTCCTTGGAGCAAATGATTTGCCCCGAGGTCAGCCTGGGCGAACTTCAGTTCAGCCTTTTCCTCCTTCTCCCTCACGGCGACCTGAGAGCCAGGAGAGCAGCTAGACAAGAGCTCCGCGCACTGTGGGTTGAAACAGGATCTCACCAAGTCAGGGACTAACTAGAGCGGTATTACACACGCACTGCATTTAGAGTTCCGAGCACATAACCTCTCCAAAGGGGGGCAAAGTGTAAAATGTTCCCATGGGCCCAGCTGCTCAGGCTCAGGATCCTAGAGGTGGTTGTCAGACCTGAAGTCACTCTGCGTGCTCCTGTGGCTGCTGCTCATTTCTGAGATCTACACAAGGAACAGCTGGGAAGATGGTGGAATTTTATTGGCTAATGCAAATCACTCTTAAAGCTCTTGCTCCATGAGGTCTTATTGTGGACTGTGTGCTCTTCTACAACTGGAAAAAATAATCATCTCGGGGGTGGAGGCGAGGCTCAGTTGGTAGAGCACTAGCCAAATGAATGAAAGCTTCAGTTTTGAGTCCCGAGTTAGAGTCCCGATCTCAGACCACAAAAGAAAAAGAAGCCTGGCGCTGGTGACTTGTGCCTGTAGCTACTCAGGAGGCAAAGATTTGAGGATTGCAGTTAAAAACCAGCCCAAGTAAGAAGTCAGCCAGACTAAATCTCTAGTAAACTACTCAAAGCCAGAAGAGGACCCATGGCTCAAGCCTGCTAGCCTAAAGCAAAAGAAGCTCAGGGACAGTGCTCGGGCTTTAGTTCAAGCCCCAGGACCAACACACACACACACACACATATAAAAGTCAAAACATTTGGTCTGGAGGTGTGGTTTAAATACAAAGTCCTGACTTCACTGGGTTTACACCCCAGTACTGCCAAGAAAACAAAACAGCAGCGAAGAAAGCCCCATGCGTTTGGTGATTTCTTTTTGTTTTTGGAGTGTTTGGGGGTATTTTTTGTTGTTGTTGTTGTCTCTGCTCAAGGCTAGCACTATCACTTAAGCCACAGCGCCACTTCAGCTTTTTCTGAGTAGTTTATTAGAGGATACAAGTCTCACAGACTTTCCTGCCTGGGCTAGCTTTGAACCATGATCCACAGATATCAGCCTCCTGAATAGCTAGGTTGGGGGGAGGGGGGGAGATTAGATCCTCCTGAGAAGCTAGTGTGTGTGTGTGTTTCCCCTGAAAACAAGTTGGATCTGGTCTAACTTCCCACCCCACCCTCACTCCCCCACAGTGAGAGAAAGAGAAGTAGAAACATGGAAACTATGTAAAGCATTTGTAATACATCATAGAAAGCAGATGATGGTAACCACAGCCAAAGGAGTGGCACCTTTTCTTAGGGGGTGAGCCCTGAATTGAGGAAGTAGCATGCATCAGCAGAACTAGAGCCTTCATACTGTCTGTAGAAATGGAGACAATGGAACCCGGGAGAAGCCCGAAGGATTGTGTTCTAAGCCTCAGCTGGAGCTCCTCGATCCATCCGAAATTACTTTTATCAAAGGGGAATGTGCACAGTGATTTTTTTTTCCCCCTGCCAGTCCTGGGGCTTGAACTCAGGGCCTGGGCACTGTCCCTGAGCTTCTTTTGCTCAAGGCTAGCACTCTACCACTTGAGCCACAGTGCCACTTCTGGCTTTTTGTAGTTACTTGGAGAAAAAGAATCTCATAGACTTTCCTGCCCAGGCGGCCTTTGAACCTCGATCCTCAGATCTCAGCCTCTTGAGTAGTAAGGCTGACAGGCGTGAGCCACCGGCACCGGCCATCTTCCCATCTTGGGACAAAGTATCTTCTGGGTGTTGGGTCTGCTTATCTGGTGACTGGCTTGGATGACTCCATCTTCCCCCTCCCTCACCTCTGCTGCCCTTCATCCTCGATCCTGAACTAGAAGTCTTCCTCTCAGGAGTTTCTCCTGCATGTTGACTCCCTCTTCCATAGTCCGGGCAGCTCCGGCTTCAGAGGAGAGGGGATTTGAGTAGCCAGGAGAGGTTTAGCAACTTGAGTCCGGGCCAGCAACATTAATATCCAGATGAGCCAGCGTGTCACCGTGCGCACACCCCCATGCGAGTGCTTAAATTAGAGGATTGGAGGTCCTTCTCAGGAGGCCAGAGCCAGATGGCGGGATTTGAAACCCAGCAGCCAAGTTGGCTCAAGTCAAGTGGGCAGGGGGGCTGCGGGGGACAGCAGGGCCTCGCTAAACTGACTTTTCATGTTCACGCCGCTGTGTTCTCTCTCCCATTTTGTAGACATCGAAAAAGCCCAAGACAGCCGAGGCAGACACCTCCAGCGAGCTGGCGAAGAAAAGCAAAGAAGTGTTCCGAAAAGAGGTAAGGCCTGCCCCAGCGGCCCGGACTCCCCTCTCCACGCGTGACCCGTGACAGCTGTGCACGCGCCTCCCCCCCACCTGGGCACAGACAGGCAGGAGCGTGAGCTCTGGCTTGAAGGACTCCCGCTCCCCAGCCCGTTCTGCTCAGCAGCCACATCCGGGCCTTGTAAAGGATCGAAGGCCCAGGGAGGCTGGGTGCGCTGGGAAGGCTGCCTTACCGTATGGCTGTTCCCTTAGTTCTGTGATTGGACTGTGAACTTGTGCGGGGACACACTGGGAAGACCCCTTACAATCAGGATGACATTTCTGCTCACGTTCCTTGGATTTCTCCCCTCATAGTCAAGACAGGCACCGCCATTCCAATCATATAGGTGGAAGAACTCTTAGGACTGTTTTTCGGGGGGTGTTAACTCAGGTTTAAACTTGACTCCCACTTGCGAGGCTGGCACTGTGCCACTCAAGTTACGCTTCCAAGCCCAGAGTTTTTTTCTTTTCCACCCCTGGGAGGTCCTGTTTCTACCCCCCCCCCCCTCCCAGACTGGCCTTAAACTGTGATCTTCTAGATGTCTTAGCCTCCTGAATATCTAGGATTACAGGTGTGAACACGATCCCCCAGCTTGAAAAGTCAAGTTCTTGACAAAAGACTTGAGCTTGACATCTTCTTGCTCAAGTTGCAGTTGTTTTCTTTGAGGCTTTAATGGACGGCTGTCCCCCCCGCCCCACCCCACCCCCCGTTAAGGGAGGGGGAATGGAGGCCAGCCCGCCCTCTCATGCTGCGGGCTGTGCGCTGTCTCCCCGTCCTCCAGCCTTCAGGACCCTGAACTTCCCGCTCGCCCCATGAGCACAAAAGCCAACTGAGAGCCTGAAGCCAGGAGTTGAAATGCCAGCACACGCATGCACATGTGCGCGTGCGCATGCACACACAAATAAGAACAGGAACAATAACAACTGGCAGTGGGGAACGTGAAGGGGCTCGTGTGGTGGGGGAAGCGTCTGGGGAGAGCGAGCTGAGGATGGGGGGGGGGCTTGAGGCCTGACGTCACCTGGCTGCCTGTCTTGCTGTATTGGGTGGCGGCTGGTCAGACAGCCTGGCTCGCTCAAAGGATTGTGGGTAGCTGTCGCAGGGCACGCGAGGCTGTTGGAATGGGGCTAGACAGAAGCGCTTTTGCTCAGGGGCCCGTCTGCATTTGGGGGGACCCTGCTGTGGGGATTCGGGTGAGTGGTGAAACCCGTGACCGTTTAGAGTGAGCGGATTGGAAGAGGAGGGCAGGGGAGCCCGGTCACCATGGCGGGGGTGGTGCCCGCAAGGCTCATCCAGAAACACAGCCGGCCCCGGGGGAGGGCGCCGGGCGCTCCTGCCCAGCCAGGCTGCAGCTCTTCCGTCCCTTTTTGGGGTCCAGCCTCTTTCCTCGACCTCCTGGCTGCCCGTGGGGCTGCAGGGAGGGGAGGCGCTCCCCTCTGTCCCCCCGTCCCCTGTGATCTCACCCAGCGCTGCTGGAGAGCCACTGCTCAGGACAGCCCCTGCAGGGGCAGCCCAAGAGGGGACTCAAACCAGCGCTCCCCAGGAACCCCCCAGCTTCCCGGCATGCCCTGCACGCCAGCCCCAGGGCGGGGACTGGAGCAGGGCGGGGGCGCGGCCCCGCCACGCAGGCGCGCGCCGCCCATGCGTCCGTCAGTGCTGCCGCTCAGCCGCGCCCCGCCCCGCCCCGCCCACAGATGTCTCAGTTCATCGTGCAGTGCCTGAACCCCTACCGGAAGCCTGACTGCAAAGCCGGCAGGATCACCACCACCGAGGACTTCAAGCACCTGGCCCGCAAGGTACTTCCCCTGCGCCCGTCTGGCATGGCCCCCCTGGCCTAGGAGCGTGCTTTTTGGCTTGCCAGATGCCAGGGTGGAGGGGGCGGCGTGTGCGGGAGGGCTTGGGCAGGGGGGCCATGCTCCGCCCAGCCCCTCCCGCCCCTCCCCTCCATCACTGCTCCTCTAACGGTGGCCGCGCGCATGTCTTGTTGTGCCCTGGACAGCTGACGCACGGGGTTATGAACAAGGAGCTGAAGTACTGTAAGAACCCCGAGGACCTGGAGTGCAACGAGAATGTGAAACACAAAACCAAGGAGTACATCAAGAAGTACATGCAGAAGTTTGGGGCTGTTTACAAACCCAAAGAGGACACCGAGCTAGAGTGACTGTGTGGGCGCAGGTGGCCGGCTGGGCAGTCGGGGTGGGGGGGGGGATTCGAGGGAGAAGAAATCCTTCAGCCTCTGCCCCGCTCCGTGGCCAGCACCCCGGCCATCCAAAGCTGCAGGAGTCAACAGAGCTTGAGCTCCAGCTCCAAGTCGCCCCCCATCCCCGTTGTGAGCTGTTGGGAGGTGGTCAGGGGCCATGGGAAACAACCCCCCCCCCACCTGGGGAACACCCTGGCCAGACCTGACCCCAACCTGTGACCTGGGTCTCCTCCTTGGCGGTGCTGTCAGCGCACAGACCCATGCGCATTCCCCCCCCTTGACCCCCGACCCTGACCATCTGTATTATATTTTAATGTATATGTGAATATATTGAAAATAATTTGTTCCCTCCCCCCAGCCCCGCCCCAGTTTTTGTTTTTTTTTGTTTTGTTTTTGTTTTGTTTTGCTTTTAGCCTCCATGTGCTAGGATCACAGGAAAACTTTGTAAGGACGGTTTAAGTTCTCCTGCAAGGTTTAATTTGTTATCATGTAAATATTCCGAAGCAGGCTGCCTTGTGGTTTTGGCCAGCCTCGTGCTATGTTGATAAGATTGATTTACTGCTTAAAATCACTTTACTTTATCCAATTTTTACTGAACTTTTTATGTAAAAAATAAAATCAATTAAAGAACTTGGCCTTGTGTGTTCCCTGAGAGTTGATGCTCATGTGCGTGTGTGTGCGTGCATGGGGGGGGGGAATGGAGGAGAGGGTGTACTTGTTCATGGCCCAAGTCGGGAAAATCCATCCCCCTCTTCCCCTCCCTCCCCCGTCCTGGGGCTTGAACTGAACTCAGGGCCTGGGCGCTGTCCCTGAGCTGCTTTTGCTCAAGGCTAGCACTCTACCACTTGAGCCAAAGCGCCACTTCTGGCTGTGGCACTGACGAATCGAACCCAGGGTTTCATGCATGCTAGGCAAGCACTCTACCACTCAGCCATGTTCCCAGCCCAGGAAAATGATCTGGAACCCCGGCTTCTGCATTGGAGTTCGAAGGCTTCAGGACCCGAGGAAGCCGAAGTTCAGCAAGTCTTCACTGGCTTCCCATGGCAACCCAGCCAGCAAAGGGCATGCGCAGGATGTGAAATCCGGGCGGAGCCTCCAAAGCTCACAAACCCGCACAAGGCACATAACGCTACTGCCACTCATTTTAGCTGCTGCCTGGAGGAGGTGCGTGAAGCACCCCAGCCCTTTCCTGGCAGGGGGGAGGTTCTGCCTTCCAGCTACTCAATGTCCCAGAGGCCTGAGGAGCCAGAGCGAGAAATCCAAAGCCACCTTTAATACAGGATACAAAAGTAGAAAAGAGGGAGCACCGGAATAGGTGGGCAAGACCCCCAACTCATACCACAGAGTCGCCCTCCACCAAAGGGCCCAGCACCTGCAGCACATCTTCACGGTGTAGGGCAGCTAGGGCATCGCGGAGCACCCGGAGGGTAGCCCGGCTGCCTTCCTGGGCCGCCCAGTCCCTCAGCAGGGTATAGGCCGGCTCCTGGCTCCTGCCTATGGTCTCCACAGCTTCAACCTCGTAGCCCAGAAGCCCTGCCAGGGCCCGCCAGCCCTGGTCAGCTTCACCGGGCACCTCCAGGAGCCGTTCCACTTCCTCTTGCTGCTTCCGGGGGAGATGAAGGTAAAGTCGGCAGTCGGGGTCTGGCTGTAGCCCTGGGATGGGGTCATGCCCAGAGATCGGTCAGACACAGGAGGCCCAGGGCGGCATGGGGGGGTGGGGACCCAGGGGGATCCCAGATGAAGGAGGCTTTTACCTTGGGGATGGCCGCTGGGTTCTGTTCCACCGGGAGAGTCCAGAAAGATGGTGCTTTCTTCACCAGGCCTCTGGTCCAGGACCCCCAGCTCTGCGGTCCGAACTTTGGCCAGCTGTTGTTTCTGTTTGCGCGAGCGCCAGCTGTGGGGAGCAGGAGGTGAACTCAGGCTGCCGGGGATGGAAGGGTGCTTTTGTGGCACTGCCCAGACCAACCGTCCTACCATTTGAAGACCACGTAGGCGAGCAGGCCAAGAACCACGGTGGACAGCAGGGCGCAGTAAACAGGAATGATGCTCCCAGAGGTCCCTGGAGGCTCGGGGGGGAACGGGGAGGAGGTATTGGGGGACAAAACCTCCCCAGTTCCTACCCATACTTCTTCCATGTCCTGCGTACTCAGGGGCTTATCTAGAGGAAAGGATATACAGGGGATTGCGATTTAAAGCCAGCCTGGACAGGAAAAGTGTGAGACCTTTTTTTATGTTTTGCCAGTCTTGGGGGAATTGAACTTAGGGCCTGAGTGTTGTCCCTGAGCTGCTTTGTGCTCAATGCGAGTGCCCTACCACTTTGAGCCACAGTGCCACTTCAGTTTTTGCTCAGTAGTTAAGAGATTAGAGACTTCGGACTTTCCTCCCCGGGCTGGCTTTGAACCATGATCCTCAGATCTCAGCCTCCTGGAGGAGCTAGGATTGCAGGTGTAAGCTACCAGCGCCCAGCTGTGTAAGACTCCTTTCTCTCCAATTAACCACCAAAAAGCCAGAAGTAGAGCCATGACTCAAGTGGTAGGATGCCAGCCTTGAGCAAAAATATAACACTTAAGGGACGGCACCCAGGCCCTGAGTTCAATTCCCAGTACCTTCGCACAGGAGTTCTGATGGATCATTACAAACTAGAACAACTGGCCAAAGCTACTGCCATCTTCTCCCAACCCGATACAAGATGAGTGAATAGACCAGGGCTCTACGGCCCATGATTGGGTTGATTTCCAACCTCTGCTGCACTCCCTGTCCACTGTCTTTAAGATCGGGGTCAAGGGGTGTGTACCTGTATGCATCATGCCTTCGCTGTGGCTGGAGACATGAAGCGTTAAGTCGGCGCAAAGCACTTGCTGGGCTCTCTCTTGGATAAGTAGAGTTGCACCAAGGAGAGGAAGCGGGAAGCTTGGCTGTGTCTGTGCAGGGATACTGGGAAAGCTCAGGCCTGCTCTGAGATGTCCTGGTCCACGTTAACTCACCCCACAGCTGGACCAGCTTCCTCCTGTGATCGGATGGGGTGGTGAGGTGCCCTAGACGGTGAAATGCAGCTCAACCTGGAAAAGGACAGGCTGGAAACTGCCTTATTTTAAAAGATCTTGGCCAGGTGCTGGTGGCTCCCGCCTGTCATCCTAGCTACTCAGGCTGAGATCCAGAGGATCTCAGTTCAAAGCCAGCCCAGGGAAGGAAAGTCTGTGAGACTCCTATCTCCAGTGAGCCACCAGGAAACCGGAAGTGGTGCTGTGGCTCAAGTGGTAGAGCACCAGCCTTGAGCTGAAGAGCTCAGGGACAGCAGCACCCAGGCCCTAAGTTGAAGCCCCATGACTGACCCCCCCCCAAAAAAAAAAGATTTTAGCTAACATTTATCCTGAGTGAGTACAGAGATAAGGGGCACCCACCAAAGGAGATGTGCCCTCCGACCCCAATCTCCATCACAACCAGGCTGATGCAACCTACTGGCCCGCCAGGGAGAGGCTGATCACTCCAAGACACCTCTGGGCCCAGGAAGCCAGCATCCTAAGGCCTCAAAGAGGGAAGCCTTCCTGTCGTGATGGATCGCTTCCCAGTGGTCAGCCCTTCTTGGTCTAATATGAGGGTGGCTCCCCCCACCCCACTTTTCCACCTGGAAGTTCAGAGAAGGCCCTGAAAGACCCGCCCTGGACACCCCTCTCCCCCATAGAACTGAATCTACTGGGCCTCACTTCCTGAGAGTTTGGGAAGAAGGGGGGCAGGGGGGGGGGTTGAGCAGTTCTTTCTTGCCAGGAGAAGGAATGAATGTCCCTTCCCCCCTCCAGCATCCATGCACCCTGTGTTAATGACCAAGTCGGGGGGGGGGGGGGGGGTGTCAGGGCGGGCTTTGCCATGTGTATATGTGTGTGTGGGGGGGGTTAATGGGGTTTGATCTCTCACTACATGGGGTGTCAGGCTTTTGGCGGGGTAGGGAGGGGGAAGGATCCTGTTTAAAGCAGCAGCAGCCAGGCCCGGGCATGTGCCGGGGCACGAGCGCCCACGCTGCCCTGGTTCACACACACACACATGCACACACATGCACGCACACACACACACATGCACACACACGCACACGCACAGGCCTTGCTGCAGGCCGACATGGGAACCCCAAAGGCTCGCCCAGCTTCCTGGGGGGGGGGGAGGACACAGAGGCCCAGAGGGACCCCGGTTCTATCCACAGCCCCCCCTCCCCGCCCCCTGCTCCTGACCTGCGGCGGCGATGGCCCCTCCGAGCCGGGATCCACGCGGGCCGGGCTGGCCGGGCTGGGGGGCCTCCGGACGCCGGGAAAGACCCGGCTCGGGGTTCGGCCTTGGGCGGGGAGGGCGTGGGGAGGACAATGAGGAGGCGGGGCGAGCAAGAGGGCGCGGCCTCCGCCCTTCCCTGGCAGCGGGCTGGGCCGGCCGGGAGCGCGCACTGCCCCTCCCAGCCCCGGGAGCGCGCACTGCCCCTCCCAGCCCCGGGAGCGCGCACCAGGGCCTGGCCCAGCCCCGGGAGCTTGCACTGCCCCTCCCAGCCCCGGGAGCGCGCACCAGGGCCTGGCCCAGCCCCGGGAGCTTGCACTGCCCCTCCCAGCCCCGGGAACGCGCACCAGGGCCTGGCCCAGCCCCGGGAGCGCGCACTGCCCTCCCAGCCCCGGGAGCGTGCACCAGGCCCCCCCCAGCCCCGGGAGCGCGCACCGCCCTCCCGGCCCCGGGAGCGCGCACCGCCCTCCCGGCCCCGGGAGCGCGCACCGCCCCTCCCGGCCCCGGGAGCGCGCACCGCCCCCCCCCCAGTCCCGGGAGCGCGCACCAGGCCACCCCCAGCCCCGGGAGCGCACACTGCCCCTCCCAGCCCCGGGAGCGCGCGCCAGGCCCCCCCCAGCCCCGGGAGCGCGCGCCAGGCCCCCCCCAGCCCCGGGAGCGCGCACCAGGCCCCCCCCAGCCCCGGGAGCGCGCACCAGGCCCGGCCAGCCCCGGGAGCGCGCACCAGGCCCCCCCCAGCCCCGGGAGAGGGAGGTGGAGGATTGGAGGTGATTCTTGGGATTGGGTCGGTGCCGCTGGGGAGACGAGCGACCCCCGGGCCTCGGCGGCGCAGGCAGACCAACAGCTGCGAACACGACCAATGAAAAGAAAACCCAGGCCAGGTTTATTGCTTGCGATCGGGCGGGCGGCGCCGCCGGGGTTCGAAGGCCACGCGCGGTCCTGTGTGCTCTCCGCTGGGGGGGGGGCGTGGGGGCTCAGGAGCTGGGGGGGATCCTCACCCCGGCCCCCCCTCCCCCGCGCCCGCCCGCGCCCTGTGCAAACTCCCTGCAGGAGGCCGTGGAGGCCGGCGCCGGACCTCCCGCCGCCTCGGCCGGCGAGGGGGCGGGACTTCCGGGGGACGCCACTCGCCAATCCCTGAGCGAAGGGGGCAGGCCCCGCCCACCCCCTGGGTATGGCCTGCTCGGGGCCTCCCAGGGGCGGGGCTTCCCGGGGTGGGGCCTCCCGGGGGCGTGGTTTCATGGGGGCGGCGCCTCCAGTGGGCGTGGTTTCCTGGGGCGGTGCCTCCAGTGGGCGTGGTTTCCCGGGGGCGTGGCCAGCTCAGCGAGCCTCTCCAGGGTTGTACTCTGTCTCCCCCGAGGACACCTGGGAGATGCGCCTGGAGGATCGCCACAGCTTCCGGGCGAACTGGCTGCTGCGCACCTGGGGGTGGGGATGGCAGGCGGGTAGCAGGGATGTGGGGTGAGTCATCGGGACCACCACTCCCTGCTGGGTTTGGGGGACACACACACAACCCCCTCCCATCACCCACCCCTTTTCCTGCTGGGTTTGGGGGACACACACACACCCCTCTCCCATCACCCACCCCTTTTCCTGCTGGGCTTTGGGGGACACCCCCCCCTCTCCCATCACCCACCCCTTTTCCTGCTGGATTTTGGGGGGACACACACTCCTCTCCTATCACCAACCCCTTTTCCTGCTGGGTTTTAGGGGACACACACACACCTCCCTTCCATCACCCACCCCTTTTCCTGCTGGGTTTTTGGGATACACACACACCCCCCTCTCCCATCACCCACCCCTTTTCCTGTTGGGTTTGGGGGACACACACACCCCTCTCCCATCACCCACCCCTTTTCCTGCTGGATTTTGGGGGACACACACACACCCCTCTCCCATCACCCACCCCTTTTCCTGCTGGGTTTGGGGGGGGACACACACACAGCCCTCCCTTCCATCACCCACCCCTTTTCCTGCTGGGTTTTGGGGACACACACACCCCTCCCTCCCATCACCCACCTTTTCCTGCTGGGTTTTTGGGACACACACACACACCCCTCTCCCATCACCCACCCCTTTTCCTGCTGGATTTTGGGGGGACACACACTCCTCTCCCATCACCCACCCCTTTTCCTGCTGGATTTTGGGGGGACACATACTCCTCTCCCATCACCCACCCCTTTTTCTGCTGGGTTTTGGGGGACACACACACACCCCTCTCTCCCATCACCCCCCTCCCTCACCCCCCTCCTCACCTCGGAGGGCTGCCCGGCGCCCACCACGATCAGCTTGCCGTCTTCCAGGCCCACCAGTACGTGGCTGCTCTCCTTGGTCACGGCCAGGCTGCGGACTGGTACTTTCATGGGCAGGGGAGGTGCGGCGGGGTTCAGCCTGGGGGGGGGAGAGGACAGGGGAAGAAAAGGCCCACCCATGACCCTCTCTCCATCCCCTGTCCTCATCACTGAGCGGAACACTTGGATCACACCCAGGGCCACGTTCCCCCCTCCACCGGGGATCTAGGCACCGGTGGGTGGCCCTGGGCACCTACACAGGATACATAGGCCCGACAGGGTGCTGCCAACCACCAGGAACTGGTAGACGTGGGGAGGGGGGCTCACTTGTTCAGATGGAGGATGTGCAGGGCGCATTGAGCCGTGCCCAGCAACACAAAGTCCTCCATCACCGTCAGGGCTGTGGGCTGCTCTGTCAGGGGCAGCGAAGCCCGCAGCCTCCCATTCACCGAGTACAGGTGCAGGGTATAGGCCACCTAGGGAGGGCAGGCCGTATCAGCAACTTGCTCCCCTTCTTCCCCTGCCCCCCCCCCCTCCCAGCACTGGTCCAACTATCCCATTGTTCTGTGTGAGCAGGGATTTCCCCTCCCTTTTTTGCCCCATACCTGAGCCCCAGGACGCTCCCAAGCTGAGCTCTGTACCACAATCTGGCCTTCAGACCCCAGTGCCAGATAGGACACGGGGCCAGGCAGGGTGGCACCCGGCGGCTGGAGCGCTGCCACGAACTGGCCACGGCGTACGGTGTGGATGATCACAGTTCCATCCTGAGAAAAAAAGGCACCTTAGGATGCTGGGTAGGAGGTGGGGGGTGAAGGGGGGGTGTTGAAAACAACAGGTACACAGTACCCCCTTAGCAAGCAGCCAGGGGGATCCCCGATGTGTACGAACCTCCGCTCCAGACACCGCCATGTCAAGTTCCGTGTTGATGGCCACACAGCTCACGGCAGCCTTGTGGCCATAGAGGACCTGCACGGGTTTGGGTGCCAGCCCTACTGACAGACCACCCTGTAAGGAAGCAGATGCGCTTAGGACCGGCCCTGGAATAAGGCCAAGGGTCAGGTGCTGGTGGCTCCCGCCTGTCATGCTAGCTACTCAGGAGGCTGAGATCTGAGGATCACAGTTCCAAGCCAGCCCAAGCAGGAAAGTCTGTGCGACTTCTATGTCCAATAAACCACCACCGTCAGCCATACCTGCTGTAAAAGCCGCCACACCATGCACGTGGTGTCCTTGGAGCCGGAGATGAGGTAGATGCCGAAGGTATCCAGCGCCAGGCAGGTGATCACGTCTTCATGGAGAAGGGGGAAGGCCAGACATGGGCAGAAGGGTCACTATACCCTCCTGACAGCCTCAGGGTGCCCCCCCTGGACCCCCATTCCAACTGCCTCATTCTCCCCAATGCCCAGAGGCTGCTCCTACCAAGATGGCGGCTGAGCTGGTTCAACAGCTTGCCCCGAGGTAGTCCGGTCACTCGTAGGCTTCCGTCCCAGTGGCCGCCGCTGAAGAGCAGCTTCCCGTCGGGGGCCACGGCCAGTGCATGCGCACTCACACCACAGGGGCCACTCAGGACCCGTTGCATCCTGGGAGCCACAGTGAGGAAGAGGGTTAAGTGCGGTTGGACCCTACAAGATGAACCTAGATACCATGGGGGGAGCCTTGGGAAGTGTCCCCCCACCCCCCAAGATTGCAGCTGCCCTGGGGGACACAGGATTTGCCCATCCTCCACGCCACAAAAATCCCTCGGACCTACTTGGGGTTGCCCAGCGTCGGGTCTTTGCTGAAACTGAAGTAGTTGTTTATGTTGCGGTCGTAGGGCAACCAGCTGTGGGTGCCCAGCACCCCACTAGCACTCACGGTCACCTGTGGGTGGGAGGGAGGGGACACGCAGGCGTTTGGGGACGGAGGGGGACGGGGAGAGTGTGGATGGATGGAGCTCAGGTCGGGCGTGATCCAGGAGACTTACCAACAAATCGGAGGAGCCCTGGATAAGGAAGGAGTGGGGCTGTCGGTGGGGGACCAGGGCCAGCACCAAAGGTACACCCTCGCTGACCACCTGCGGGGAAACAGAGCCAGGGCTGAAGGCCCATCAGGAGTACCCACAATGCAATCTGCGAAGCCTCCAAGCCCTCTAGCCCCCAGGGGTGGGGGGAGGGTGGTCTCAGACTAGTGGGCGGAGCATAGAAGACCCCCTTCGAGGTATCAAGTTTGGATGGGTTTAACACCCATGATCCAGAAGACCATGGTTCAAAGCCAGCCTTATCTCTTTTTTTGTCATTTGTGGGGCTTGAACTCTGGGCCTGGGCACTGTCCCTGAGCTCTTCAGCTCAAGGCGAGCGCTTTACCACTTGAGCCACAGTGCCACTTCTGGTTTCCTGGTGGTTCATTGGAGATCAGAGTCTCACGGATTTTCCTTGCCCAGGCTGGCTTTGAAACACGATCCTCCAGATCTCAGCCTCCTGAGTAGCCAAGGTGACAGGCGTGAGCCACCAGCGCCCAGCTCCAAGATGCCTTCAAATCTGTGACCTCAGAAGTCAGATCAACCCTTCTTCCGAAGGCCAGGGAGGTTAGAAGAGCTAACCCAGGCAAACGCAGAGGCCCAAAGTGTCGCTCACCTCCGCAAAGAAGGCCTTGAGCTGGTCCAGGTGCTGGAAGATGCTTGGTGAGTTAGTGTCCAGGCGTGCAAGACGTTGAGCTGCTTCTTCAGCCGACAGCCGGGCTGGGTGTGGCTCCTGTGAATATGGGGACTGCTCAGCACCCAGGGCACAGGCATCTTGGGGACCCCCCTACCCGCCCCCCCCCCCATCCTCCAC